ATAGTTTCAGGCAGGCTCTTCCTAAACTATGTATTTGTCAATGTTATCTTCTTTTAGTTTATCTTTGGCCGATATCATGTAATCGCCTCTCCGTTGCAAACACTCTTTGAGATGTTCAACTGACTAAAAATGTCTGAATATTGAATTCCGATCTCAATTCAATAACACATTTTCCTTGGACAACCACCTCACCTCTTTGTGTTAAAGAAGAATTTAACGGGGCGCCCATATTTTCACACCTCGTACGAAACATCCTTTTTTATAAAGCTACGGGGTCGCGGCTTCTAAAAGTTTGAAAACCACTGGTCTAGACAATAGGTCGCTCTATTGTTCAGGTGAAACCAAGTGCGCTTGTGCAGCACTTTAGTACCAACCAACCAACCAATCACCTCTAAACTAACTATGTAAATGCAAAAAGCACCGATCTGTCGTAATTTTTTCAACTACGTCACATTCTTTTTTTTTCGTTTCCATCCCTTAATACGCACAGCTAATTTCATTTATTTTTTTTTTTAAACAACTGGGTCGGACATGGCGTATGCGCAACATTCATGCAATACTAGCCGCATGACGCGTCATGACGTGACGTACTTATGCAACGTACGGTGGCGAGAAAGAAAATAGGGAAAAGACATTTCAGCACGGTTTGGCTACTTTTCCTTGTGTAAAAATTTTTTACTAATTTTTTACGAAATTAAAAAAAAGAAAGGTAAATCGAAATTTCAAACTTTACATTTTAACAAATGTTGATCACAATTTTAAACTTTTTAATCGGATTTTTTAGAATTAAGTTTTGTAGCCCATTATGTTTATGATGTAGTAGTGCAAGTCTGAACTAACTAGGATTTACCATTGATGTTTGGCAATTTTTTTCTTCCATACAAAATATGTTCGACAATTTTTTTGTATGGAGAAAATGACCAACAACTTCGACGAAAAAAAATTTGCGAAAAATCAAGGGTAAGACCTAGCTGCTTAATATATATATATAAAAAGCGCAAAATTTTGATGAAGCTTTTTCGAATTTTTATAATTTCTGTACAAAGTCTGAAATTTTGACTTACATGGTTTTCTTTTGATAAAAAATAATAAAAATTAAATAATAGAAAGGGAATGCTAAAATGTCTCTTCCCAATTTATATTTTCGCCACTGTATATAATGCACAGTTGTTTCCTTCTTTATTTAGACTTGCCATGTGCTCATAAATCTTATTTTTGCCGCTGCTTTTGACATGTCCAAAAAGTCAGCAGGTGTACTACAGTAAATATTCATATGAAACATATATATTTATTAGTTATAAATATTAAATACCCGCATTTTAACTGCCTATTTTTAGTGACGTATACCAGCGTATCACCATCATAGTAATGTCCCTTGCCTACACTGCCCGCCTAATTTGTCATTAATATTATTATTGTTATAATAAGTACTCGTACAAACACAGCGTTTATAATAAATTCGCTTCACGCGTCACTTGAGCTTTATGTATTTAGGCAGCTTGCTAAATTTAGTAACCTCAGTAGTATTTATACGAAAATAGGTTTTATTAAACAAATAAGTATTTACTTTGCTCCGCACCGGACTTGAAGAATTCCATATCAACCCAACCATAAACTTTGATTGCTTAGGCGTACTGTTAACTCAATTTAATCAACTGGCATTTTTATGCGCCCAATCAAGGTATTCGCCTTCCATGCAGCTATCACGTCATTCCTTTCACTCATTTCAATTAAATATTTTAAAATGTGTAAACATACATACATATGTATATGTACTGTATTTACTGGTATATGCATGCGCAAATATTCTTAACAACTATGACTCACTTCGTTCGGTCTTTGACATGCTCATCGAGCGTTCCGTTTTTCGCCAATGCCGGTACCACGTTTTCGATTGGAAGAACTGCAATAGACTGGAAGTGGTACTGCGGCCGCTGCCGTTGCTTTCCTGCAACTGTTGCTGTTGCTGCTGCTGCTGCTGTAATTTGCTTGTTGTTGTGGTTGTCGTTTTTGCGGTCGATGTGGTTTTCGTATAGACGGTCATGGTCTCCATGCGTTTGGCCACACGTTCAATTTCTGATGACCGACACGATGAGGTATCCTCTAGCGAGGAGCTACGTCGTTTCGCACCACCACCCAAACACACACAGCTACGCAGCATTGTGTGTTGCGAGTGTGTGTGGTTGTGTGTGTACGGGTAGGCGGTGTGTAGGAGTGCGTGTGCGTATATTTTGTTTGCTTAGTTTTTAATTTTATTTATTTTCTTATTTGTTGGTTGGGGGGGAGCATTGAAGATATTCTTTTTATTTGGTTTTTAATGGAAGACGACGTTGTCGTTGCTCGCGTTTTTCTTTCAATTCACTTGTTTAGTAATTTTCATTGGCTTTTTTGTTACAACTTTGTTGGTTTCCCCAAGAAATACTTTACACTGCAATGTCATTCTTTAGTGCTTTGAGTGACATTTTGGGGTGGTGTGATGTGCGTTAAGTGCAAAGCTGAAGGGCAGGTTGTGCTTACCTCAGTACCCAGTCGCGGCCATTTAAGCAGACGTAGACGTGCTGTCGCGTCACTTGTTCGCGGGATAATGCTTTTCACTTACATTTTTATTCAATCTGCTTATAAATTTCTTTTTAATAAATTTTACTTTCCCTTTTGTTTGGAAACACTCTGTACCTTAGTAGGTTTTTCACTCCAATTGAACTCATTTCCGCAGTTTGATTTGCGTTTGTTAAATTTTTTTTTATTTTCTACTTTTCATTAAGTTTATTTTTTCAAATGCATTTATCTGATGCTTTCTAATTCTACATTATAATAAGTGTATACAAACTTTCTAAGTGCAAAACAATGAGGAAATTTCAATTTTCGATTTCAACTACTTTGATATACTATACTTAGCAACAAAATAGTCAGATGCTTTGCGATAAACCCATTTATGAAAAACAAAATACCTACCAAATAGACATGCAAAGGTAAAGGAATACTCGATGGAACCCTACTCGAGTATTTTACGGGTATTTTTTGCCACAGCGGTAGCACGTGCGATGCTAGAATGGCAACTAGCTTAGATTAGGAATCAGCGCTGAGTGCTTAAACTCCGCAGTACCTCTCACATTCGCGATTGATTTTTGATCATGGTTTCAGATAGTTTGCAACGTCTGGATCCCGGGGCACTCGTTTCCTCCATGTTAATAGGGTTGCTGGACAACAGGCAACAATGGCATGCAGGAGAGCTGTCGACTTCAGAATCAGAGGGTATTAAATTTCGAGCCGAGCAGCTGGGCCAATAGTTAAGCGGTGAACAATTAAATACACTTTCCTAGCTGTAAAGGTCAGTAATATAGTAATGACCCTAATTCGTCGAAAAGTTAGTTAGCTTAGGTCAAGCCAGAGTAGGCCAACAGCGTTAAGGAGGAAATAAACTTTTATCAGCTTACCTGGTGGACAATACGTTGAATGAATATGGCTCATTCCGATTCTTACATGGCCTATTTTTGCATTCTAAAGCGACACAGAGGAAAGCCAACTATCAGGCGACACGGCATACTCCGCTGTGATGAATGAGGCAGGATGCGCATCTTACAAACCAAACAACATCACAGTTTAGCCGCTCAAAATGCATTTCTGCTCCATACTAGCGGCAGATATTGTTCACATTCAAGAGCTACGACCAAACTAAAAATTTTTTTCTCTTGCATGGGATCACAATTACGGTCAGGCTCGACATAAACAGGAGTCATCTCAGGTTGGGGTGAGTTACTTTTTGACTTGTTTATTAGTACTGAGCTCGACTTTTATCATAAAATCTCAACGGAAGAAAAAATGGGGAGGCGGTCCGGATTGGATCAAATTTGACCTTTGTCTGCTTATGGGCGCTTCTTATAGGCAGCTAAATCAAGTTTGCCGAAGTAAGAAGCCTACAGGCAGAAGAAATTGGTGAAAAGGGCAAATCGAAGGTCTGAAAAATGTGTACAGGCCAGAAGCGGAGGCCAACAGAACCTGTAGGACGTTAAGAGAGCACATTAAGGAAAGCAAAAATAATCGTGTGATGAAGCAACATGAAATCTGCGACGGCGAGAAGTAAACGCAGGGAGTGCCGAATAGTCCCAGGTTGAATGTAGAGAACTGATGGCGCCGCTTGGATGGAGACGAGGGTGGAAATCCTGCAAAGTAGGAAATAAATCGCATATCAAGCCGAAGTAGATCAGTCCTATTCTTTTAGCTTCCTTCCAATATTACAGTCTAACAGCATTCCTAGGTAACGAGGGTCTTTTAATAACATCATGCCTTCATCTGTGCCCTCATCTGTGTGTTGCTGTAAGACTACGAAACCTACTTATCCAGCTGTGAAGCAATTTTGGATAGTATTTGCCAATCTGAGGTTAATCACATAATTCGTTCCTACGCTGATCGATCTAATTGGCTGAAGGAACAACTAGAACTAGAAAATTCGTACCGCATACCATGCCACTGCAGTGCCTTCGGAGGCACACTTCCGGTTATAAGAGAAGCTGTCGAATGTTTAAGAGCGAAAGGAAATTGCGCTCTAAATTATTTTTTTCAAAAGCCAGTGCAAAATGGAAACACTTAGATACCTGCTAAACAATCAAATTAATGGGTATGAAATGGAACTTGAAAATAGTGCGAGACTCTTGTCAGGTCACATCATTTTAGGGAGGCAATAAGATTGGCTGCCTCAAATTGTACTCCGCCGAAGGCTTTTGCTCTGCCAACGTCCTGCACAATAAGGACACTTACGTTATTGGCTGCTGGAACCTTTAAGGACCTGCGCAATATATTTAGCGGGGATAAAGATTAGAAGATTAGAGTCAAATTAACTATGACTTTGCTTTGAATACCCCTTTCACAGTATCAAAATATTCTCAATTTAATTTGTCCTGGAAATAATGGTGTAAAATTTTATGAGTTTTTAATTTCAGTGAGTCATTTTAATTATGGATATATTTTTATTTAATTGATTTATATTGCTTCAATAAAATTTAATTCATTTTAACTGCAAATAGGTATGTGCATACATTGTATTCTTTCTTGTGCATACGTGTATGTTTTTTTTTTCAATTATCTCCACTCAGTTATCATTTAAGTGTGCCACATTTGACAGCATTCGCGTCTTGTCATTCAATGGCGAACCATCACTTTGCATTTAGTAGTCGTTCGGTAACGCCAACAAGCCAACCGCATATTTACGAACTCTCGTACTTTTTCACCTAATGTGCTTTGGACAAAAGCCATTGTTTTTAATCAACGCATCAGCAATGAATTGCATACATCACATTCTTTTTATATCGGAACTGCATAAACTTCTATAGAGCCGCATATGCATACATACATACATACATACGTACTATGTACTTATGCATCACACATTTCACCGGTGTAAGCCCAAGTAAAAAATGACATTACCTATAAGCCGCATAATATTACAAAAGGTATATTTTATTAATATTTTTTTTTATTTGACAGCAAATATTTTTGGCTAAAATTTCGCATACTATGGTATTTAACTCTTCGGCATATCAATGTTAACGTGAAAATCCCCCTTTTTTGATATCTGAAAAAAATAAATAAAAGAAAAACAATGTTATTTAAACGTAGTATATATACATACAGATATGAATAAAAATATACATATCGATGAAGAGTGTTATGCACTACAGAAAATACACTCTATAGGAATAAATATATTGGGGTAATAACTCTTGCCCTGCTTATTTCTCCGAACCACTTTTTATGCCTTATTGACTACCTTTTTTGTTACTTATAAAATCACATATTCGTAAACAAAATGATTTCTTCACAAAAAATAACGAAAGCAGTTCGATTGCATTTCATTAACCCAAAAGAAATTTCAGTAGGATCCGAAGGAAGTAAAGATTTGGAACTCCATTCTCCTCCATAAAGCTTAGTTTCCAGCTCTCAAGAAGAATAACAAGAAAAAGATTTCTTTATTTCCGTTGCTTTTAAAAGTACTTTGACGTTGCTTGAAATTTCCCGAAGAAATAAATATGGTCATTTGTTTCTTGAGAACTGAAAACTGTTTAAAAAAATTTTGAAAGAAGAAAATTTTGTTTAATTCCTTGAGCATTTTTATATGAATTATTTGTTTCTGTTCAGAGCTGCATACTATTCTCAGACCCATGATAAATACATATAAGAGGCATTCCACACTATTTCAATTGGTCAAAAACTACTTTTGCTCGATTTTCGGATATGTTGCAGAGGAGGTTCTAAAGTATTTGTAAACGCAAAAAAAACAACATTTTTCAAAAGTTATACAACAACCAAAATATTAGGTGTCTCGCCGTAAGCCATTGTTTATCACATCATAACTCCATAAATATTGGTTGTATCAAAAAAATCCATTCGTATTTTTTTTATTGACATAGAGCCAGAGATTTATAAAAAAAAAATAATTTTTTTTTAGGTCCAATTTTCCATACGTTTGTTAATGAATAATTTAGAAAGTTGCTCAAAAAAAACCATGTTTTTAAAAATCTGCAAAAATTATATATGAGATATGCAAAGATTTAACTAACAAACTTTTCAGGGGTGCCTCAGCATAGAGCCTGAGATATTAATTGTTTCGTAAGACAGTGACTGATGGAAACATTTTAAAAACAAAAATTAGTAGAAGTCCAGGTAATATTTATATTCGTATACTTTATATATACTATATACTTTACTTTGCATAATCCTCTTACTTTGCGAAAAATCGCGAATTTAATATTAACATAATCATTTCTTTGATTGGGCATATCTTCTGAACGGGCAAAGGTAGCTTAATCATTTTGGTTTAAATAAAGCGGAAAACTCCATCTTTTTAGCACAAACTATTATTGTCAGTAAAAAACTAATAATTGATTTTTTTTTCATACAACCAATATTTATCGAGCTATGATGTGATAAACCATGGCTTTCGCCGAGACATCTATACTTTGGAAGTTATACAACTTTTACAAATTTAATTTGTTTGCCTCTTAAATGTGCTCGCTAAATTCGTGCGCCATTGGGCTTTTGAATGTTTGCTGGCATTTCAAGTACGCAAATGACAATTTATGATTTGAAAGATTTATTCATTCAAAATTGGGAAAACTAAAAACTGTATATAGGCAAAAATTAGGGTTGTGAAAATACCGGGTTCCTCTGCAAGCAGGCCAATGTCAAATTTATTCAGTTCCCCAAAATACCCTATATGTAGGAAAAATTAAGCAGGGTTTGTTTGGAAGTGGATTTGCCAAAGTGTCCATAAGGGTGCTCGGCACATAATTTGCCACATAACTTGACCAGATGTAAGCAGTGCCTTTAAGGTAAAATATCCTTAAATGTAGGCCAAAATCCTCACCTTAACGTGTTTACATTTATTTATTTGCGTACACTCAAATTTTGTTGTTTAGACCATGATAAAAACATAACAAGGTAAAACCATTGAGAGGCAGTCTGACGTTTGCCAACAATATAATTTTAAAATCAAAACTCAAACTCACACACACATTCTCATTTTCAATCTCAAACAAAAACAATTGTTTATAAATTATTATTATTTTTTTTTTCAATTTTATATGATTTTAAAATGTTGGCAAACGTCAGAACAAAATCATGGCCAACGAATTGAGAGAATGAATTTACCTTGTAATGTTTTTATCATGGTTTAGACAGAAATAAATTTCTTTAGCTTGAGTGAAAAACAAAATAAACAGATGAAATGAGAGCGAGAGAATTTTTTTTAAATGCTAGCAAACGTCGAAAGTGCTCAGCGGTTATACCTTA